TCCAAAATACCGAACCAAACAGGGTAGTTTCTTCACAGTAATCTTGTATTTTTACAATCTGAGATCTCCTAATGGCATCTTTGGATGTGATGTTTGTAGTGGTAAACTCTCCTGGTCTAAGGAACCCATAGAAAGCCAAGTAGATAATGGTTTTAATAACATGATTAGTGTGTGATTCCAAAGGGGTTGTATCCATGAGGTCCGATAATGATTGGAAGAGTTGACTATAAATAAGTAATCTAGAAGATGGTGGTGTGGGGTTTGAATTCTTAATGCCTTTATAGTATGGTTTTGATTTGATAAGATAGGAAACTGTGGTTGTTTGGCCAATGCGTAAGTATATGGTGGTGTATTCCTGTCAGATATCATTTTAAATTAAGGTCGCAAAAAGAAGTGAAAGCTACAATAGATTCCATTGAATATTTATTTACAACCTGAAAGTTAAACAAGAATCTGTTATTAACACAGAATGCCCTGTCGTATGATTTTCTAGTATTGTCAGACAAAGCTAATTGTGAAAGGAGTCTGCCATGAGTTAACTGATCTCCAAATCCAATGTCATGTCTGGCCATGACGGAGCCGGCGTAGCCACCAGGGCTGCCGTCGGTAAAGCTTTGTGTAATTCCTGAAATTCCAAGACAAATTATCAGCTGCTACGTTCTGAATTCCAGGAATATGCACACATACCAAGATGAAATTAGTCAGCCACCAGCCAAGTCAATTTCCTCAGAAAGCTTATGATGATCAGAGATTTAGAACGACCTTTGTTAATTATATGGCTGGTGGCAAGTTGTCTAAAAAACATCTCACTGCCTGACCTGACCATGTTGCTCCCCACGCTACTGCAGCAGCTACAACAGGATAGAACTCGAACAGGGCAGATGTGGTAGAAAAACCTGGTACATTGTACAATAGGCCAAACCCATCCCCCCAAAAGCCAATTATCACCAAAAATACCCAGAAAGCCTGAGGTGGCAGCTGCGTTTGTAAAGATAGTAAGGGAGACAGAGGCAAGTAAAGGGATAAACATGCTTTTCCCATTCCATCTCATGAGAAATTCCTGCCACATGCGTTAATTCGAGGTAGCCGGAACGCCCAGTGAAATGCGGGAAATATCAGACTGAAAGCTGGTAAACAGATTGAGCAGTCTAGATATAAAAGCCCTGCTGGATAATTTTCATGGCAAAGTTGAGGAAGCCTAGTAGAGACTGTTATTTCGTAATATCAAACGATTACAAGATCCCGCAGAGAGATATAGATGAATGCTGGATAGGATGCGTGGTTTGCATATTAACCAAATCTAGTGTGATAACCAGGAAATTAATCAGTGTCGGTACCTTATGTCTTTTTAGGGGAGACAGGGACCTCAGTTACTCTCAATAGTCAAGAAGTCATCTAAATGGTGAATAACTGTGGGGCATCTACAGACATTGAGCAGTAGCCAGCATAAAGTCTCAGCGAAGGTATCAAAAATCCTGGGGCTAGTTTTCACTCATCTCAAAAGTGAGACAAGTGAAAAAATAGTAAGAACCCTGCCACTTAACACCATGTAGATGCCACAAAGATTGGATTGGGAGGAGTTTGAAAGCGTTAATGATGTCAGTCTTAATGAGCCATGCCCCCTTCCCTGCAGTCAGAATTGCGTCAATGGCGTTATCAATGGTGGCATACTGAAGGGAGAATTCCTCTGAAGGAATGAGAGTTCAGACGGGGGTCGTGGAAAGCAGAGAGGTCGACAATCAACCTTTGCTTGGCTGATCTTTTATCAGAGACTACCCCTATAGAGTTAGTACTCCATAATGAGATAGGTGGGGAACTGGATGGCCCAAGTAGGAAACCTTGATCCAATTCAATCTTTAACAGAGTGTTAACCACTATTGGATTTGCAAGGGCGGACAGTAGGTTCTTACATTCTACAAAGCCGAATGGCATGTAAATGATTCCCGTATGGAACCCTTCCATGAATCCAGTTACCAAAAACTCCACCAAGTGGGTTGAGGGATGGTTATGTAAAGTTGGCAAAACAAGTCACATTGATTGAGGCCATGAAGGGTTTGGAAAACAATTTATTTGTTCACATTGTCTTGGCATGTGCCCTAAAACAAAGAGCACACATGCAATAACCGGCAAGCACTAAATCCACAGGAACCTGCATTAAAGTTATTGCAAATCTGGGATTTACCAAGAAAAACAATATTATGACCAAGCTTGTCCTTAATCACCTTCCTAAGTTTAGCTGAGGAGGTCAGGAAAGGAAAGGTAGCACCCAGCTCAGCGGTATTAGGACAGGTTCGTAGTATGTGAGGCCGAAGAGCAAATACCACAAGCTGGGGACCTGAGGCGCGCAAAGTGCCTACAAAAAAGCTCAGTGTCCAACTGGTTCAAGTCTGCCTGAAAACTGAACAGAGCTGCAGACGCCTTTGCTGAGAATGATCTTTGGTAATCATAAAATGATGCACCTCAATATTTATGCCCCAGGTCCACCAGCTTGTGTAAATACAGATCAAATTGCTCTCTGCGCTTGGGATAAACCCTTTGGTCCCTATAAATACCAAAGGCCAGGACAAACTCAGGAACTGACATTTTCCTATTAAACCTGGGGTCCCTAGCCTTCAGTACAACAGAGACCTCGCCATAGGAATGCATCTTGTTCTCCAGAATATCTTGGGAGGCAATCAGCAGCGAAACTAGATTGACATCCTTGCCTTCCAAGATATCCTTCTTATTATTAGCTGGCACCATGTGAGCTGGGTTGATAATATTAGGGGTCTGTAGTGGACCAATGAATTTACCAGTCAGGGTGCCTGAGAGACCAGTAGGTTCTGTAGTAACCAATCCAGATGGTGCCACTGGCCTACCACTAGCATCCAAATGGTCCAACCTATCAATAATCCGTCCCAACGAGGACAAGACCGACGACAGGACGGCCTGGAGGTCGGATGACTGGGCAACTTTGGGGCCCTCACCAGTCCCGGTGTTATCCGTGTTGGTGTTGAGCAGTCTATAAAGTTTAGCATTCCTGGCAGTAGCAGGGTAGGGAATATTCCTACACCTTAATTCAGGAATATTCCTACACCTTAATTCAACCGTGATCCTAGGTATGGTCCAAGACCTGAGGGAAGACAGGCTAGCGTTGTCCCCTCCGTGAGATGGACAGAAGGACCTTGCAGGAGTGCTGGGAATTGACAAATTCTCAATAGCTTCTGGTAGTTCAGACATCCTAGGATAGGACAAACATTCACGAGTAACCAAAGTTATTTACCTAATGCCAAGTGGCAAAGAAATTATCTAATAATTGAGAGGGGAGCCCTACTAATTGCCAAGTGGCATGAGAGACTCTAGCTATGTGTTGGCCCGAGGGGATTTTGTGGCCACCAAAAATGTTGTGAGATGTCGGCCTCTCGGTGACCAGTAAAAGCAAAAGATAGCATGGGAGTGAGAGGGTGAGGCTCTCTCTATACCACCATGCGAGGCGACTAACTGAGGTGGCCGTGAGTACCTCAGAGTATGAGGATGGGTGTTGGCCTCGCAGGACCATTAAGACAAGACAAGAAGGCCAGAAAAACTAAATAAGCTGACTCTGAAACCTATCAGCCAGTAGACAAAGTCTTACCCTAGTGTCTGTTGTAGGATGGAGAGGGTGGGAAGGTGTAACGACCACTGGGTTTACTTACCTGTCGTATCAGATGGATATAGAGTAGGACAGAGTAGATGAAACCTGAGCAATACCTATGAGAGTAATAGCAATGTTGTAGTACCCATATCGTGACTGTTAAATAGCAGAAAAACAAAATAATATGGGATACCTACCAGCCAATAGACTAGGCCTAAAATGAACCAGCAAAGTGTTAGTATAGTGGTAGTATAACCAGTAGGGCCTAGTAGCTAATAATATAAAAAGGAACAAATTAGGTTATCTAGGCAGTGAGTGTCAGATCGTGGATCCCCAAGGAACACCTTGTAGCCACCTGGGAAGTTTGGAACAATAATCCATTTGGTGCGAACTTGGTGCTATGGCGTCGGTACAAAGATGAAATTTTAATTATATGGGAAGGTACTATGGACACATTGAGCAATTTTATTTCTTTTTAAAACCAAAATGAGATGTCGTTGGTTTTCACTCCACAAATGAATACTAAAACTATTGATTTTTTAGATCTAACAATCTTTTATAGATAAAAATGTTAAGTCAAAAACATTTTTTTAAACCAACAGACATAAACAGCTATATTGACATAAAAAGTAGCCACCTTCCCAGGTGGCTACAAGGTATTTCTAAAAGCCAATTTATGAGGATCAAGAGAAATTGTGGCGTGTACATTATTTTTTAGAACAGACACAAATCTTAAAAGAAACGTTTTTATAGATAAGGTACGATGAAGATTTATTAGACAAGGAGATATTATGTATTAAAAATATGAGCAGAGATACATTATTAAACAATAGGTCAGTCAAGCACATTTGAATATTACTTTTTTAAATTTATTTATTTATTTATTAAAATTCTTTATTTTTGGTGCAGTAAAGTTTACAGACAGGCCCGTGGTGCCACGACAGCAGCCACAGGCTGAATGATATAGACAATGTCAAGATGATGTACAGTTGCACATTTTTTTTTTTTTTTTAAAAGGCAGGTTATATACGTAAGTGAATTCGTTACGAGTGATTTGATTATGGCGGCATTTGTGAGATACATTCATATTAATGATTAGGACACAGAGTGTATGCTTTTCCATTAAACATGCGTGTCTATGTGTAGGCATAGATTTGATGCATGCGTGTAAGTTGCACGTGTAAAGATGGAGAGTATTACATGAGTACCAGGCAGTCGGGCTCAGCTTCTCTAAGTGATTGGGTGATAGGCTGAGTGAGAGCGTGTTTGGTGTGTGTGGTACAGCGATATATATCTATGTAAGGCATACTATGAGAATGCTAGCTATATAAGAGTGGTCAAACATTAAACATTTCTGTAAGGTTTTGCATTGTTGATGAGTCTCTAGTTAGGAGGCTGTAAGGTGGTCTGTCCAGCGTGTACCTTTGTGGTTCCCATCTTGTGAGTCCAATATCAGCCTATACCCAACAATGGGAAGGTTGTAGGTGAGATGTTAGAGTCCCACTGGGTCACAGCAAGGTGCAGCGTCGTTGGTTCCAGCGGTTGGCTTGTCTGCTCTTTGCGGTGGAGGCCTGTTCTGGTGATGCCGGGTCTGTGTGGAGCTTGTGGGCTATTTCGGGCAGGCCTCGTTGCGCGGTGTGGTCTTGCTCGTTTATATGCGGGCGGGAGAGGTCTCCTTCTCCGGCGCCATTTTGTGGGTCTCGTCGGACAGGGGCCCGTGCGGTTCTGGTGGATGTGTGCATGTTCTCTGTTGGGTGAGTGCCCTGGTTCTTCAGCCTGTCGGCCACTGCCCACCAGTTTCGCCCAAAAGACTTCGAATAGGGCATCAAGCTGGGTGTGTATGTTTTGACTTTCCGTTTGGCTATTATGGGGATATGTGGCATCTGCCATTTTGTGGGCCCGTGTAGTGAAGGGCTGTCTGAGAGGTTCCCCTTTCAGTGCACGATTTAGCTCCGCTGCCTGGGGGGAGTTGGACCGGGATCACCCCCACCGGTCCTGAGAGGGGGGGGAACGGATATTCAATAGTTTAGTACCTCCGGCGTAGGGGCGAGGAGAGCGTCCGTCTCCCCCCTGCTCCGTCCACCACAGGCCGCAGCCTGCCTCCTTGGCTTCTCGGTTACGGGATGCACTAGAGTCCGGTATCGGATGCTTCACCAGGGAGCCCCCGACATGGGTAGCATGCCCGGTATCATTTCAGGCTTGAGAATTTTTAGTATATCCCAATAAGTGGCTTGTATGGTGGGAGCTCCTCCACCATGCGGCTGCTCTGTTTGCAGGTCAGGCCCCGCCCCCCTGAATATTATTTTAACACACAATATAATGCACAGGCATATAACATAAAGATTTTTTTTAAAACATTGGCCATTATTGCTGAAAGATGATATTTTAAAAGCCAGACTACCTTCTGAACTGAATATTCTTTTTAAAAAGTAATAATTGTAAAAACATTTTGGCACCAAGCATGTTTAAGAATAAAGATTCAAAGATCAGAACTTTGGAGAAAGGCTTTTTTTTTTTTGTTTTTTACCTGTGGAAAATGCAACGGTTGCCGAAATCTTCAACAGAAAACATCCACTTTTATTAGCAAGCAGACAAAGGAATCTTAAAATTTTAAGCCATATAACTTGTTTCACGATCCATGTGGTATATTTTCTCACATGTGGTTGTGGACTCCAATATGTGGGTAGAACAGGAAGAAAGGTGAAAATTAGGTTCATGGAACATTTTAATAATATAAAAAAAGGGATGGATAACCATTGTAAAAATTGAATTTAAAAAGAGAAACCTTTCATGTATAGCTATAGAGAAGGTGGCGTTAGATGACAGAGGAGGGGACCTTATGATAAAGTTGAGGAGGAGAGAGGGATTTTGGATTAATAGACTTCAGACTTTACAACCCAATGGTTTAAATGTAGATTTTGATTTAGTTTGTTTTCTATGAATTTTTATTTTTCATTATATTCTTATTCATTTTATATTGTATTTATTCATTTCTTATTCATTTATATATTTATTTGATTATTTTTTTTCTATTTTTATTCTTGTTTTTAGTCTTATTTGTATTTTCATATTTTTTAATTTATTTTTATATACGCTATGTATATTCATTATAATTATTTTCATTATTTCATTTTTGTTTATTTTTATTTTTATTCTATTTTTATTTCATTTTATTTAGTATATTAAGTATGCTCTTTTTCACACCATTTGGGTTGTGGGTCTTTTATCTGAAACTTCATATATAAGTCCTTTTTGTCTTTTTTTCCCTCTATCTCACCTATCTCCCATCTCCCCCCTTTTTTTGCGGTATAGTCTAATAGATTGTTGCTTTTTTGCATATTTAACTTTTTATGTAATATATATATATATCTATGAATTGTTTTTACTCTGCTTGAGCATTGTATGGACTATAATTAAGACGGAAAGAGGAAGTTGCATATATCGGTGAGCCACAGGATTTGAAGTTTGTAGAGTGCGCCAACCGGAACCGGAAGTAAAGTCAGAATGAGGCTTGGAACACAGAATAGATAACGAAGAATAGAAAACAGCTGAGTGAGAACTCCATATTCCTTGGGATTGGTTGATGGCGCCCAGGGGGTGGGACAAACTGGGTGATTCAAACTCTCACTTGATAATAGGATTTTTATGAATACAGGCGGATTACTGTGGAATATGGAATAAGTGTAGGGCTTAATACTGTATTATATTATATTATTTTTCATATTTTATTGATATATATTTTAAGTATTTGTATAGATCACCATTTTTTAATTTGTATGCTGCTGTTCCTGACCTTCTGAGGAGTCCTGAAGGAGGACCCCGTAGTTATAGTGATATGCCTATTCATTTTGGATATAAGAATATATACTCTGTGTCCATTCTTCTCTCTCCCTGTGCATGATTTGGATTTGGAGTAAGAAGAGGGAAGAAAACCATATTGGAGGAGCTTAAGGCTTTTTATCATTCAATTTTCTGTGAGTGCAACATTGAATAGCCTGTAAGCACCCACCTTAATAGCCTTTAAGTGCACTGCACTCTCTGTGGCACTGGGCTCAGGGCAGGGTACAAAAATTTAGTATTATAGCACCCACAAAAATAATCACTGTAGTTTGCAGATTCAACACCAGAATTCTTTCCTAATCTGTCCCTCACAGCTGCAGCATCCTCTCCCTACACTAATAAGAGCTCCTTGCGTGCGGTGCTACGTGACTCCAGCTTATATATAGAGGCTGGGTCACATGCTGCACTGGCCAATCACAGCCATACCATTGGTAGGCATGGCTGTGATGGCTTCTAAGGGCACACAAGTCAAACGCTTGTTGATCGGCTGCCCTGCAGCCTTTCAAAATGCGCCATTAAATCGCCAAACACCGAACTCCAACCAGAACATACACTGATATGTCCGTGTTCGGGTCTGGGGTCCAAAAACCGCAATGTTCGGTACGAACCTGAACTTTACAGTTCGGGTTCGCTCAACTCTAATGGTGATGCCTATGTAGGAAGAAAATTCACCCATCCCACAAACATTTTCACAAGAATGTCTCAATAGCCAACTATCATAAATAAAATCAGAAATCTCAAAATTACGAAAAACTACAAATAGATATATAAGCAATTAAACAAAAGGTTAATGCAATTGAATTAAATATGGAAGTTATCCAGAAGGAGCAACATTCAACGAAAGAAAGAACAACTAACCTAATCGATTAAAATAGGAAAATTGGAAGCAAAAATAAACAATATAGAAGATCGATCCAGAAGATCAAATTTAAGGATAAGGAACATCCCTGAAACCATAACACAAGAAAAATTAAATCAATATCTGATTGATACATTTAAGTCTCTAGGAACTTCAATGGATGAACTACACATTCTAATGGAAAGATCCCACTGCATAAAGAAACTAAAATATTTACCAAGAGATGTTATAGTTCAATTCCACTCCTATGATTTCAAAGAAAACATTTTAAAAACTCTGTAAGCCAATAAAATAACAGATAAAAAATTCAAGGATATTCAAATCTTTCAAGACCTTTTAACAAACACAAGACTCTGGAGAAAGGAATTTAGTTCATATTTAATTATCCTAAGAAAACATAATGTAAAATAGAATTGCGGTTACCCGAACAAACTGAAGGTCACTTGGAGAGACACTTCAATAGAAATTAAACAAGCAATCCAATTAAAAGCATGGCTATCCATAAATAAACTGAATTAATCATACTAAAGACTAGGAGAAATACAAAGATACAAAAGAAGAGATGAAGTAAGAAATAATTGAAGAATTTTAGAAATGAAAAAGATCAGAGGAACAAGAGAAATAAAAGAAAGGAAAAGGGACCTTTTTTCCTCTCTCTCTTTCTATTCTAGAAAGAATGGAGAATATTATATTAAATACAAGGGGAGAATAAAAGAATTCACAAAAGTCAGTCGCTTTTACAAAATGAAAGATAATTAGTAAAATAGAATTAATTATAACACTACATTTATTTATGTATATTTATTTATTTTTTTAAACCAGCACTTATCAATATGAAATAATGTCCATAAGAGTAAAATCTTTGACACAAATATTATTGACGCACGACATAAATGTTATAAAAGGAAAATAGAAAGAGATGGGGGTAAAAAAAAATAAAGGGAAATTTATCTTTTGTGTTTTCATGTATAAAAATGAACACATATTGGTAATATAACATGTAATGTAAGAAAAAATGAAAATTAAGATTAAATTATATAGAAAATAGAGAATAAATCATAAAACAAATATGAATAGAATACATGGAATTTTATAAATAATGAATCCTATTGAAATTAACACATTCATTTGAGCGCTATCTTTTAAAAGGGGTCAATATGATGAACAAAAGTGAGAGAGGAGAAGAAAGATGGAAATAAAATAGTTTTATTTATTTTATTTATTTATTATCTTCACCCGGAATTAATAATCTGCATGGGTCCAATTCTTCTCAACCATATGTTAATGGCATAGGTTTCAACAAAGAGTAAACAAATTTTGTTTTTCTCTAGGATTAACTATACATATTTTCCTTCTTATTCCTGAGGGAACTTTTTTATATGTTGATCATCAATATATGTGGTAAATGTGTTAAAACATATGTTTTTAAATGTGTTTTTTTTTTTAGAAAATACTATTCATTTGGTGAAGAGCGAGGAGAGAATAGATTATAGACAGGATGAAATATGGTTAAAATATTATCAGTTAATGCCCAGGGTATTAATTCCCCATATAAGAGATCGACTGTTTGCAATTACTTAAAAAAAACATATAGTAGATGTTGCATTTTTACAGGAGTCACACTGGAGATTAGAAGATAAAAATAGGTTTGCAGGCAAATATTTCCCAATACTATTCTAGGCTCCAAGTAATGACAAAAAAACGACAGGAGCAGCCATAGTGATTGCTAAATCTATCATTTTTGAATTAATATATCAGATACTAGATCCACAAGGGCGATACATGATACTAGTATGTAAAATGAATGAGGGGGTCTATACATTAACCTATATCTACCCAACATTTCCCCAGTGTGTCACCTCAAGAAAATACTGGCCGTTGTCAAATAAGTAAACAAAAAAAAGGAATGGCAATTGTAGCAGGTGATTTTAATTGTGTTTCTGATGTGGATATGGATAAAAAAATATCTAAAAGGTTTAATACTAACAAAAGTTAAAGAAACAAGCATCTATGCTTACAAATACTTTTAAAAAAAATGGGTAGAATGAAGTTTTACTCTACATAAGGGGTCTATCATTATATATATACATTTTGCACTATGTTATGTTATTTGTGTTTTTTAGATTGATCCCGAATTGTCATTTTATTTACTGGTGCAGTATTTATTCTATTGTTTTATTATTTATCTTGA